TACCATTTTAATATGTGATCACTCAAAATTTTCAGATTCTATAAAAATTTTTTCGTGTGTGTGGGGAGGTGCGTGTGTGTTGCTGGGAATTCAACTCAAGGCCTCCAGCAGGCCCGGCAAGTACTCTGGCCCTGAGGTATACTTCAGGTCCTTCTGTTATTACTAATGTACCCTTTCTATTCATATTCTATGGTCTTAACATAATGCTGTTTTCTTCCCTCCAAATTCACATACTGATCCCCAGTCCCCAATGTGTTGGTATTTGAGGGTGGAAGAGCCCCCGTGAATGGGGTCAGTGTTCCCGGAAGAGACATGGAAGACCTTGCTCTTCTCTACTCTCTAGCACAGAGAACACAGAAAAAGACATCTGTCTTCAAACCAGGAAGGCAGTTCCCACCAAACATAAGATCTGCTGGCACTTTTATCTTGGACTCCCCACCTCCAGAATGGTAAGAAGTAATGTTTGTTGTGTAGTCACTCAGTCTGTGGTAATTTGTTACAGCAGCCTTAATTAATATAGTTTTGTCAGAAATAGAAGCTGAAAATAGGTGTGGCATGTGCAAAGGCCCAGCTGCTTGGGAGGCTGAGGCAGGAGGATCACAAGTTCAAGGCTAGCTTTGGTATCTAGTGAGAGAATGAAAGGAAAGAAAGGGAAGGGTGTGGAAGAGAAAAGAAGGGAAGGAAATAAAAACTGAATAGCCTGATTTTCCTTACCACCTAGTAGTTCAATGGCTTAGTGGTGATAATATTTTACTGAGATTTTTCTTGAGCTCAAATGGAGACTGAAACTTTTATGAATATGCCCTCAACTACTTGTTTTGAGATTTTTGTTTTGTTGTGAGAATGGGTCTTGCTATGGATTTCAGGCTGGCCTTGAACTCACTGTTACAGCCCAGGCTAACCTTGAACTCACAGTGATCTTCTTACCTCAGTCTCCTAAACTGTGGAATTACAAGCATGCATCACCATGCCCAACATGCCCTTAACCAACCTTTTTTTTTTATACCGGGAATCGAACTCAGGACCTTGCACTTGCAAGGCAGGCGGTGGGACCACTGAGCTAAATCCCTGGGCCTTCAACCCAACCATTTGTAATGATTAAACTTTATGTGTTAACTTGGACAGGCTATGGCACCCCACCATTTGGTCAGAAAACAGTCCAGATACTCCTCTCAAAGTATCTTCTAGTCAACCTCTATAATCACTTGACATTAAGGAAAGGATATTACTGGGTGATGATAGGAGGTCTCATCCAATTTATCAAAAGCCTAATGAGTCAACACTGAGATTCTTGGAAAGAAGAAATTCTGCCTCAGGACTAACACTGAAATCCTGCTTGAGCTTCCAGCCTGCTGGCCTGCCCTATAAATTTCAGATTTACCATGCCTATAATCCCAGCACTCAGGAGGCTGAGGCAGGAGGATTGCTGAGAGTTTGAGCAGCTTGGGCTATACAGTGAGACCCTGCCTCAAAAAAAAAAAAAAAAAAAAAAAAAAAAAAGAAAAGAAAAAAGTCAGACTTACCAGCCCCAGTTGTGTGAGACAATTCCCTGAAATGAATCACTAAGTGAATATAGGTATTACAGGGCCAGGGATTTGGCTCAATGGTTCCGCCACCTGCCTCGCAAGCGCAAGGGCCCGACTTCGATCCGCAGTACCAAAAACAAACAAACAAAAAAAGTGATAATGTAGGTGTTATACACATCCTATTGGTTCTACTTCTCTGGATAAGCCTGACTGGTACAACCACTATTATGAAACACTGGCTTGAGAACTTAGAATTTTTGTGGCAGACATGGTGATTTAACCTACAATACAAGGCAAATGAGTGCATCTGTGGGGAACTCCTATTGCAATAAAGTTCTGAAAGTCATCTGAATCACAGGAGAGCCAAGCTGCTTTATGTACTTCCTGTGCCATCAAAAGCTCAGACAAGAAACAAGATCTCCATTTCCATCCACATTGGGAGCAGCAGGTATATTTTTCTGAGCTTAGTTCCAACAGGCTTTTTGGACTTTCATGTGATTGCAAGAAAAAAATTCCATGTTTCATTTAACTATGCAATTGCGAAGCTACCTTCCTCCTAACCTTCAGTTCGAGGTGATTAATCTACAACGTGATGACATGCTAAAAGGTAGGAACTGACTCTAAACAGACTTACATATGTACTCTCCAAGTAATGAATATGCCCAGCTAAAATCATGTGCTAAAACAAACAAAAATAAACCAGGTGTGCTGGTGCACGCCTGCAACCCCAGCACTTGGGAGGCTGAAGCAGGAGGATCGCTGTAAATTTCAGACCAGCCTGGGCTACACAGTGAGTTCGAGGCCAGCCTGGACCACATAGTTGCCACCACTACCATAGCCATGAAGTGCAGTATCAGAGCTTCCTCAGTCCCGGTCAGCTGAAAGGATTAAGTTAAAGAAGGATTATCTGAGACATATGCATTCTCTGACGTGACCTTGCCTGCGAGCCCTTCTTCAGGGAGGCTGGCTACCTCCTGGGAAAGGGAGGTACAGAGATAACTGGGTTGGTTGGTTTGTTTTCCAGAACGGAAGACTGAATTCAGGACCTTGCGCTTGCCAGGCAGGTGCGGTGCCACTGAGCTACGTCCCCAGCCCAGAGAGAACTGTCCATGCACGAAGGGTCCTCGCCAAGCCTGGTTAGGGTCCCGTCCAGCCACACAGGCCTGGTGACTCCCAATCGCGTTTGAGATACTGGCTGTGGGCGGCGCTGTCTCCCATGGCCCCGGAAACGCTCCTCTCAGGCGCGGTCATGCCCCAGAGGGTTCCCCTTCGTCCTCGGTGCTGTCGCTTGCCTGAGTGGTAATGTAGTATCCCACCGTGGTCACACCTGCTGCGCTTTCATAATAAGCTTTTTTTTTCTTCAGATCACTGTGTGGCTCTTCTCTGCGCATATCTGAACCTCACATTTCTCCGGCCGCACATAAGTGACTCCTTGCTGCCGCCGTGCTCAGAAAACAAAAGAGGAGCAAATTCCCTATTGAAGGGCGGGGGTCCACAGGCCGTGGTAAACGAAAACCTGAAAGCGCCTGTTCATCTCGGTCACCTGTCAGGAGTTCCATGAATCAGGATATTGAGGACTCCGGATTTTGTCAGCTAAGGCACTAAACTGCCATCAGACTCGACGAGGTGTTCAGGAGGGAGTCTTACCTCCTCCTTGTGGGTGTTCTCTTCTCACCTGGAGAAAACAATGAACCTTACTCTGCCGGGAGGTAATTTCTCACTTGCTCTGGCATCTCGGAGGAACTCGAGGTAGTAAAATTGAACTGTTTTGGAGATGGTGGTTGGTCTGAGATCAGCTTTAAAGACACTGAGCGTAAATAATATAAACTAGTCAGGATGACCGGGGTGGCTTTGTGCCGCGAAGGAGGGTAGGTTCACTACACAGGTGTCATGGTGCATGAAAGCAATCAGTTAGACCTTCCTTCTCTCACAGGAAGCTAATACTCTGAAAAGGGATCCAGGCACAACAGTTTCAATCCATGTGTGGAAAGTTTCATTTTTATGTCATGACTAACAGACTGCTGGTAGCCCAGGTTGGTCCTGAGTTAAACAAAGGTGTCAGATTAAGACACGAGTGCCAGCCAGGGGTGGTGATGCATACCTGTCATCCAAGCACTTGGGAGGCTGAGGCAGGAGGAATGCAGCAAGTCTGAGCCCACGTAGGGAGTTCAAGGCCAGGTGGAATTACAGAAGCTTTGAAGGTGCTGAGTGCACCATTTCAGGGCTCATAGCACAATTCAGGAGTTGGGACATTGGGAGTAGCTACGGAGAAAGGACGTAAACTGCAGATTTGCTGCTGCCAGCTCTCAACCCAGGTTGATGAATTGAACCTGGGTATCATAAAAATGCCAAAGTACTGCAAGTGGTTACACGGGGAGGGGAAGGTGTGTGCCTTATGCCCTGTAATGTGCGTGCCTGTGAAGATGGAATAAACTGTAACATTCAAACAGTAAAACAAAGCCGTAGGTCCTTGGGCTGCTGTCAGGATTGAGCAGCATCTGTTTTGTAAAGACACTGGGAAAGATAGATCTTGCGGATGGAGGGCGGCCTGTCGCGGCCCTTTCCACCCTGACCAGGCTGGCCTGGCTCCGGAGGCCGAGTTCCTCTCCTCCCCCTCCCCTTTTGCCTCCTGAAGCCGCAGGCGCAGTTGTGGCTGAGAACCTTCCCGATGGTGATGCTTCTTGTCAGAGGTAAAAAGCATCGCGCTCCCCTCACCAACCTCTCAAACATGAGACTCTCATTACAGCCCAGCAGAAGTCAGTGAACACTTACCATTATGATAGGAAACGCAGCCCTTGAACCCCAGTTAAGCAGCGGACCTCGACTGCAGACAGCTGCACTCAATTATTATATTATGATTTTTTTTGAGACAGGGTCTTCCTGTGTACCCCAGACTGGCCTCAAACTCATCGTGTTCCTCCTGCCTCAGCCTCCCGCTTGCCGAGATTACAGGTATGAGCCACCATGTGGAAATTTTCACTTTGTTTGTTTGGGTGGTTTGTGGTTTTTTGAGACAGGGTCTCACTATGTATTTGAGACTGACCTGGAACTCACTATGTAGTCCAGGCTGGTGGTGAACTCACAGCGATCCTCCTGCCTCAGCCTCCTGAGTGCTGGGATTACAGGTGTCACCACGCCCGGCCTGGAAATTTTCGTTTTATATATGTGTATGATTTCTTTGATTTTGCTTCTTGACCTGCAAAGCCTGAAATACGTACTGCCTGACCCTTTATAGAATACGTCTGCCAAGCCCTGATCCAGATGAACAGTGGACAATACCTGCAGCTGCCCCCCGGATAGCTGACAGTGACAAACTAAACCCCTGGTCCACCCCCAACTTTGCATACTCCTGTCTTCTTCTCCAAGGACCTCTCATCCAGCTGCTCAGTCCGAGACTAGCACTCTGCCTTCACACCGACCTCCTCACAGTGCATTAATCCCTCAGAACGAGCAAACGCGACAGCTCTTACTCACCTACTTCTCCACAGCATGTGCTGGCTCCCCTCCTGCGTGCACCACCGAACGACTAATTGTCCCTCCTGCTTCCACGTGGTCCCTAACGATCAAATATCCACTCTGCAGAGGACTCTTTTTCAGATGCCTTGAGCACTATTCCCCTCCTTCGACTCCTTCTTCCGGTTCCGGTGCTGGGGTTCGAACTCAGGGCCTTCTGTATGCTAGGCAAGTACTCTCCTGTTAGACGACATTCTCAGCTTTCACAAGCCATTGAAAACTCTTTTGTTGGGGGGTGGGTACCAGGGATCAAACTCAGGACCTCGTGCTTGCGAGGCAGGGGCAAGTGGCGGAACCACTGAGCTACATCCCCGACCCCTTCCTACTGCGCTTCCAAATCCACGCCCTTACCTGTGATCTGAAAGAGCTTTGCACGACCCAGCCCTACACACTTGTTCAATCACAACTCATTCCTTCCCCTGTGCAGCTCCAGCCTCACCAGTCTCCGCGGCGAACAGACCAGTCCCTTCTCTTTCTGGGCGTCCGCATCCACTAAACACATTACCAAAACCACCTGTCCCCCCAGCCCCCGCCTGCTACCTCGGTGGGTGTGAGGGGCTTTCCTTGTCTCTTACTCTCCTCCTCAGCTTCTTTTCTTCCTCATCACACCGGGAGGTAAAAGCTCACAAGGACAGGTCCTCCACATATGCAATGGGAAACCGAGGGAGAACTGGAAAATATTTATCGAATATAAGAAACTGCTAGAGGAGGGAAGAAAGAGCTACCATGGCACACTGCAGGGGTCCTGCCCACGCCGAATAGTCAGGGAGACCCCCAGACAGCCCAGCATTTATTTACTCACAGAAGAGGCAGGGTTTCCCCTGGAGTCCAGACCGCCTGGACCTCCCATCCTCTTGCCTCGTCCTCTCAGGGCCGGAACTGCAGGTGTGGGCCGCGGCACCCAGTGATGTTACAGCAGGGATGGGAGCAGAACGGGAACTTTCCCCTTGACAGAGAAGCACAAGAAGCAGGAAAAGCAGAGGCCTAGGAGAGACAATAATGAGCAGTGACACGTTAGAAACTAGAACCAGATCACGGGGCTTCGTGAACAAGTAAAAGGAAGCCAATGAAAGATTTAAACTGGACAGCAGTGAAAATATCTTTTACTTTGGAAAGCCCACTCTGGCCATGGTATGTAAAGTACCAAGAGAGGCAAGACAGAAGACAGGAGACAAAACAAAAACAAAAACGTAGCCGGGTGTGGTGGTGCACGCCTGTAATACCAGCACTCGGGAAGGCTAGGCCAGGAGGATCGCTGAGAGTTCCAGGTCAGTCTCAACTACATAGTGAGACCCTGTCTCAAAAGACAAAAACGCACAAAAGAGCAGGGAGGAGGTTGCAGTATTGATGAGGAGAAGGAACTGGAATGTATAACAGGGCTGGATATGCAGCTCAGACGTGCAGCACTTGCCTAGCTGTACAAAGCCTTGGGTTCTACCCCCAGCTCTGAAGAAAACAGAATGTGTAGAGGTGAGCGTGGCTCAGTGGCAGCCCGCTGGCCTAGCACACAAGGCCCTGGGCGGGGGTGGGGACAGCACTGGCAGGACAAGTATTACCGGCGGGTGACGGGGTGCGCTCAGGTCTCAGCCTTGGGCACCTATGGAAGAGCTGCCAAACCCAGACACAGCGGAGGAGCAGGCTAGAGGTGAGGCAGCGGGTTCATCTACACAGCTGGTTCAATGGCGGCCCTAAGATCGTCCAGGCCCAAGCTCCTGGGAGGCCTTCTTCCTACTGTTCACTCACGGGACCTGCAGGTGACAGGAGGGTCCCCCGCCCACCAGCCTCCCCCTCTTTCACCGTGTTTCCGGGGGACCGTTTAGATGGGCACAAGCTTGTTCCTACAACCCCCCTTATCCGCTTTTTCACTCCCCACTCCCTCTTACTCCCTTCCTCTGGACTAGCAGTCACTTCCTGCTATCTTGTCATCTTGTTTTTAGATTCCCTCCATTAGGAAGAACACAGTATTTATCTGAGTTGGCTTGTTTTGCTCAACAAGGTGGTCTCCAGATCCAACCAGTGTTTTGCAAATGACAGAATTTCATTCCTCTTTGTGGTTAAATAATGCTCCACTGTATCTAGGTGCCACATTTTCTTCATGCAGTCATCTGTTGATTCCGTACTTGGCTGTCGTGAATTGTGCTGCAATAAACATGGGTAGGCAGGCACCCCTAAAGTATGTTGGCTTTAATTCCTTCAGGTACACCTGAGTGTTAGAGCTGGATCAAATGGCAGTTCTGTTTTCAGGGAAGGGTTTTGTTTTTTGTTTGTTTGTGGATTTATTTATTTATTTATTTTTGAGACAGGGTCTCACTATGTAGTTGAAACTGACCTGGAACTCATTTTGTAGCCCAGGTCTAGGACTCACAGTGATCCTCCTGCCTCAGCCTCCCGAGTGCTGGGATTACGGAATTGTGCCACCAAGCCCAGCTATTTTCAGGGTTTTTTGGTTTTTGGTTTTGATACTGGGGATCAAACTCAGGACCTTGCGCTTGCAAGGCAGGTGGCAGCACCACTGAGCTAAATCCCTGGCCCTATTTTCAGTTTTTTGAAGAGCCTCCATGCTGATTTCATAGTGGCTGTACTAATTTACATCCCTGCCAGCAGTGTAGAAGGGATTTTCCCCTACAGTCTCAATAGCATTTATTGTTTTTGTATTCTCGATGATAGCCATTCTGAGGAGGATGAGAGGGAATCTCAAAGTAATTTTGATTTGCATTTTCCCTAATGTCCAAAGATACTGAATTGCTCTCTTCATCAGTGCTGAGTACAGAGCGGGCACTTGTGATTCAAGGAAAAAGGAAAGAAGGAAAAAAATTTAAGTGGGTTTGGAGATTAGGAAAATTGGAGACACAAAATTAAAGATCACCAAGATGTATCATGTAAAGAAACAAATTCCCATTGATGAATGTCATTGTATTATAAACCTAAAATGTACCAATAAATTTAATGAAAAAAAGAATTAAAAACATACCTATTTAAATGCTTTAACTTCAGAGTGACTAACATCACCCAGGAATTATAAAGTTAGAAGAGGGCAGAGAGACCCCTGAAGAACTCCAGCACTTATGAGATCAGTAATAGAAACAGGAATAACATCTAACCCTCACTGAGTATTACACACCTAATTCCATTTGGTTGAAAGTATTTTTCCTTTGAGAGGCTGAGGCAGGAGTACTGCTGTGAGCTCAAGGCCAGCCGGGGATATATAGTGAGTTCAGGTTGAACTACAAAGTGAGACCCTGTCTCAAAAATTAAAAAAAAACAAGGGAAAATATTTTCCCTTATGTGTGCAACCCTTCCCTGGGAGAACTCATCTGAGTACAGGTGTAGGAAACCGAGGACTACAGGTCCCATACACACAGTAATAGCTAACGTTTACCTCGTGCTTAAAGTGTGCAAGTAACTGTTCCTAATACTTTACATATATTAATTCCCACAATCCTACGAGCATTAAATGTTTATACGGAACTACAACAACCTAGAAGGTGAGGTCAGGATGAGGAAATAATTCAAAAAGCTCTGGGAATAGGGCTAGAATTAAAACAAAATCTTTCATCATAGAACTAACTTTTCTGAATAATAGTTTAAAAACTAACAAGGTATTTTAATTAGCTTGATAGAATTAGCAGATTTAACATTTCTTTTTTCTTTTCTTATCAGTTTTTTGAGACAAGATCTTGCTATGTAGTTTAAGAGGGCCTCAAACTCAGTGATTCTCCTGCCTCAGCCTCCAGGATGCTGGGATTACAGGGTGCACCACCATCCCGGATGAAATATTTTGTACTGGGATCAAACTCTGACCTTGTGCTTGCCAAGCAGGCACAGTGCCATTGAGCTACATCCCCAGCCCATAGGTTTGACATTTCTTGAACACTCATTAAATGCAAAGCACAGCTGGCTTTAAGGATCCCCAAATAGGTAACCAATGCAGAACAGTCTGGGTGGGACCTCTGCTGCTGTGTGCTGCCCAGCATACTCTCCACTCTGTCCTGAGATTTCCATTTCCTTTTTTTTTTTTTTGTCATTGTTTGTTTTGAGACAGAGTCTCACTATGTAGCTAAGACCAACCGGGAACTATGTAGCCCAGGCTGGTCTCGAACTCACAGCGATCCTCCTGCCTCTGCCTACCGAGTGCTGCTGGGATTACACAGCCACCACACCTGGCTCCATTTCCTTTTGAAGTTTCCATGCCCACTTTGTTGCCATAGCAACACTTTGGGATTTGTTGTTGCTGTTTTGCTTTTCAATTTTTTTTTAAATTAAAAAAAGTATTAGTCCATGTTTGCAGCGCTAATTAATTTATGGTGGGAGTCAGTACAAGTACATCCTACAACACTTTGATGGAATGGAAGTACTCTGGCCAGAGGATGGATGAGGCTCAAAGTTTTCTCCCAGGAAATGTAATCTTTAGGCCAGTGACAAAATAAACAAGAATCAGGGCTGAGGTGCAGCTCAGTGGTAGTGTGTGCGTTTAGCATGCTCAAGGCCCAGACTCCACCCCCAGCACCAAACAAAAAACCTGTCACCACCTCACAGTATATGGCCAAGAATTCCTGCTCCATGTATTCCAGAGCTGATCCTGAGCTTGTTCATCCGAGGGTCCTCAGGCCCTTCCTGCCATTCCAGGAGGCACCCTTCCATAAATTCCCTAAATTCCCCTTCAATAAGGTCAGCCAAGGTCGGCTGAAATGCTTACTACAGCCAACAGATCCCGTGCTGCCCAAGGATGTGGTCACCTGGAGTTACGAGCCAGGAGCAGCAGGTAGGTGGGATCAATCACCCCAACGGCAGACTCCCTCGCTATCTTCTTTCCCGTGTGCCACAGTCCTTACCATGGAGATGGGACTGTGGAAGTCTCTCTTTAAGAGGCCAACAAATCCCAGCTGCAATTCACCTTCTCAGCCACAAAGTCACATTTCTCTAAGCACCACACTGAACAACTCTGGAGGAACACACTTTGGGAAGGTGATTACTTCTGGCTCCTATTCGGCATCCCCGGATCAGTTCTGCCACCCACGCTGACAGCCATATTCTGGCACATGGAAGAACTGTTTGTGAAACCTCTGCTGCCTTTTTATGAAGGGGGTCTTAATCAGCTTTTTCGTGCCACTGAAGTAGCTGGTACCATCCCCATCATGGGTTTCTTAGGCCACATTTTTTAATCTAGCTCCAGTATTGGCTGTGAACTTTTTGAGAGCAGGGTATTAATCAGGGTTAGTATAACGCTTTGCACTATTTGTATAATAAATTAAAAAATAATCAGGCCAGGAATGTAGCTCAGTGGCACCACACAAGGTCCTGAATTTGATCCCTGAAACACACACACACACACACACACACAAGA